GACTGAACAATTGATAGGGCAATGCTATGAATGTGGATTCACCACCAAAGCACACAATCAAGAACCTACCAAGATAATGCCAATACCAGAGAGACCGTGGGATGTAATATCAGTTGACTTCGGAGGACCATACCCTAACGGGCACTACCATCTTGTTGCCGTAGAAAAGAGAAAAAGATACCCAGAAGTTGAAACAACATATTCAACAGCATTTCAACCTACCAGAGACCAACTAAAGAAAATGTTTGCTACACATGGAACACCAAGAAGAGTCGAAACAGAGAATGGACCACCATTTAACCCCAAACAATTTGAGGAATTTGCGATGGTAGAAGGCTTCTCGCACCACTTAGTAACACCAGAACATGCTCGAGCAAATGGAGAAGCGGAGAGCTTCATGAAAACCCTGAATAAGACTGAACAAATTGCACATCTACAGGGAGTAAACACAAACACAGAAATTATAAGAAATGTTAAAGGATACCGATCAACACCTCATCCAGCTACAGGCATAACCCCGTATAATGCATTCAGACAATGGACCACCATTTAACCCTAAACAATTTGAGGAATTTGCGATGGTGGAAGGCTTCTCGCACCACTTAGTAACACCAGAACATGCTCGAGCAAATGGAGAAGCGGAGAGCTTCATGAAAACCCTGAATAAGACTGAACAAATTGCACATCTACAGGGAGTAAACACAAACACAGCAATTATAAGAAATGTTAAAGGATACCGATCAACACCTCATCCAGCTACAGGCATAACCCCGTATAATGCATTGATGAACAGACAGATCCGAACCAAATTAGATTATGAACCACGAGAGACTACGGCAATACCCCGGGATACCATAATGGAGGAAAGAGACAGAGCATACAAGGACAGGCTTAAGCAACAATCTGAAAACAGGAACACCAGAGAACACACATTTGTGTGTGAGACTATGTACTTTTGAAGCAAACCAAAAGAAACAAATGGACCACTGCTTATGAACCAGCTTTTTATGTCATATACCGCATAGATGGTTCATCAATCACAGCTAGAAGAATCACTGATGGCAGACAGATTTACCAGGATGCAGGCAAATTCAAACTTGCAAATGCATTTATACAAAATCCTGACAGTGAATTAGAGAATGAAACGGACAACTGGAGAGAGAAAGTACTACTAGAGGCACACCAACCCATAAATGAAATGGAGCACCAACCAAACCATGAAAACATGGACCAATCACAACCTACGGAAACACCAACACCAACAACACCGATAACCAGACCACAAAGGAATAGACAGAGACCTACATACCCGAAAGACTATATCTTATAAACTAAATTATTGTATATATCAATACAGATCATCAATTATCAAAAGCTATATAAAAGCTATATAACCCACTAAAGAACAGAAAATGCATTGCATTCATAAATTATTCCAAACCACATAATCAATAAACCTATGTTACGATTTAAGCTGTTAAATACTTAATGCAATTACTATAGGAAATACATCCAGCAGAGAAAAATCAATGTATTATAGTATAGTAAATCACAGAAAATACCAATCGCTAAAGTCTATTGAACTAGTTAATAAAAGAAAGACAACAAATGGACGATTTAATTAAAATACTGTAGTTATATATTAATAGTTGCATTAAAGTTAGATAGATTTTATAGATTAGCTAAAGTGGATAAAGTTAGAGATCTCTTAAAGAAAAGGAGAAATGTGATATCCTATGTAGCGCCCTTTGTTGGTCACAGTTGCTACTACCACGCTGGCGGTGGAGAAGTATTAAAATGTTATTAGTTGAGTTCTAACTATAGCCTCTGTGTATCATTTAATATTACACACAGGATGTTTCAAGAACCATGGTCCTAGAGGTTTGATAGAAATAAATAGGCCCTACAATAATAATTAATTTGTAATAATGGTACAGTAAAATAATAAAATAAATTATAGTGGGCCTAAGAATGGTAATAAGTATTTTCAATATTGTTTGATGGTTTGTATGGCAAAGTACCATAATATGTGCTATTTGCTTGCAGCATACCACTAGACACTTTTGTGTTGCTTCAATTTATCAAGAAAGTATCAGGAGAATATATCCTCCCCTATCAATATATATATATTTTTTTTTTTTTTTTGCTTATTGATGAGCTTTTATTTCTTGCTGGTGTAAAATCATCACAAAATTAAATTGGTGGCACCAATCTGTCCAAACATCGAGGGGGGAGGGGGCAATGTCCTAGAACCTCTGAAGACATCCAGGTGGCAAAACCTTGGATGAAGATCTAACATTAACAAAGGCATGTATTGATCTTACAGCCTCATATTCTGTAAATACACAGATAATTTTTTCCCCTAACGAATATGTTGAGGTCTTTGAGAGCTCTCTATGACCTTAGCCTGCCTCTGCAACTGGAACCACCACTTAATTTCAATTCTTGTAAAATTAGAATTTGTTGGAAAATGACAGCAAAAAGTAGCATGATAAGTGCAGAGACCCGGCAGGGTCCAGACAAGGCCAAGGAGCTAAAACAAAGTCTCATTTTGAGGCATTCATTGATATCTGAAACCCTGAAATAATTTTGTGAACAATCTATTTAAATTACCATTCATGTTGGTGATTAGTCCCTGGTATTCAAACTATTGATCACAACCCAATTAAGCCAAGATATTTTGCAGGGTCGCCGGATGTTTAATGCTGTTGGTGACTAGTAATAGAACTTGACATGTGTTCCTTTCTTTGTGCAAGTTTAATTGTGTGCAAAGTATCGCTTCCTGAATTGGGCTTTTTTACCACAAAGCTCTCAAAGACCTCAACATATTCCCATGAAGGACCTCCATGTTTACGCCTATGCCAAATATAGTTACCTGCTTGGGTGTCCATATAACAACTACTCCCTGGTAGGACTAATCCTGTAGAAGTATTTCTAGCCAAAAAATGAAGGTTTCTCATTACAAAAACACAGTACTGTTATGTTTTTTATCAGTCATACAAATTCCTGTCTTCGGTTACAATTTGTTACTTTTTGTTAAATTTAACTTCACGTGTGAATCGGGTATTACAGTAACAATAGTTTGGCACACAACTAGTATTTTCTGTGTAACTTTACCCATCCTATACCCACCAATTACCTGGGCATTAAAGCCTAAAAACACATAGCCTGAAAGAGCTTGGTTTTACTGTAAAAAAAAAAAGCAAGTCTATGATAATATTCAATGTACTTGTTGGCATCAATTATTTCCCTGCTTGGACTCTTGGTAGATATCTGTCTCTTATACACATCTAGATGTGTATAAGAGACAAACCTTGGCATTACCTTACAGACGCGTGTGAATGCTTTTTATCTCGGTAGGAATAACTCGGGAGATCGCTCGGTTACAATTTGTTACTTTTTGTTAAATTTAACTTCACGTGTGAATCGGGTATTACAGTAACAATAGTTTGGCACACAACTAGTATTTTCTGTGTAACTTTACCCATCCTATACCCACCAATTACCTGGGCATTAAAGCCTAAAAACACATAGCCTGAAAGAGCTTGGTTTTACTGTAAAAAAAAAAAGCAAGTCTATGATAATATTCAATGTACTTGTTGGCATCAATTATTTCCCTGCTTGGACTCTTGGTAGATATTATTCTCCTGATGACCACTGAAGCAAATGAACAAAAGCCAACTTCTTTCAGAGCTATCTATTAGAATGTGGTGTACCGTAGTAAACATTAAAAAAAATTATTTATCATTTTTATTTTTATACACTAAACTCATAAAAGTATACATATTTGGAAAGCCTACATTGTAATGTATCCATAAAAACGATTTTTAAATGAGAAAATGATTTATATGTAAATTAAATGCAAAAAAACCTGAAAACTGGGAGAAAAATATATTGTAGGTCAAGGTTGCAAAAGGGAAATACATAATTGAAAATATAAGTCCTGCTTTTGAATCTCCATAAAATAGGCTTTCAAATGATATGCTACTCATAAAAATTGAATTGTAATAAGTTTGTCATCAGTAGACTTTAACATGTAACGAAAATTGAATTTTTAAGCACAAGCATTTGTAAGCATTGTAAACAATTATTAAAGAATTTATCGGAAAAACCTACACATTAAAAACATCAGATACACTTTAAAATAGTGCAAACAGTATGTTTAAACTTTGGCTTTTCCCTCAACAGCAGAAAACTTTATTCTGATTTTATTTCTATGAAGAAAGATATCTTCATGATCATATCGTGAGAGAGCAAAATGCTCATCAACCTTGGTCAATTAATTAATTCCCAACATATATAATGCTATATTTGAGAACAACGGGCACATTTCTGGTTTGAACAATCCCCTTCCTGTTATGTATCAGGTATCAGATCAAAGTTCAAGTCACAAATAGGGAGGTGATATGGGCATGTTAGTTGATTTGAGCCGGAATGACCATAGGACGATTCAACCTCCATGCTTGAGCCTCCAATCTACCCTCAACCTGCCATTTGTTCCAAGGAAACAGGAACCCTTAAATATTTTTTTTGTTTTGATTTGTTAATAAAGTTTTGAAAATCACAGGAATGAATGCCTAATAATTGCTCTTTAAATTTCTATTGATTACCATCCATAAAGGCATTAAAAATCCATAAAGGCATTAAAAGTTACTGTTAAACTATGAAAATTACAAATCGATGTGACAAATCCACGACGACGCACAACATAAAAACCGAAAGGTCCACTGATTAAAATCATTCTTGATATTATAACATAATTAATTCATTTTGATTCTTGGAGTGTGTATTATTATACTATCTTATACGCATGACATAATACACAAAATGACTTTTCAGTTAATCCGCATATAATTTCCAAAATGCGTGGATCGATTTCAATGCAAGATATGTTCTCCAAACAGGCTTTACTATACCGTCTGATAAGCATAAACTAGGTAAGCCTAGCTAGGGCCTAACTTAATTCCATGCGGCCAAACTGGTTTGTGCATGCTTTAACAATGGTGTGCGCTTATAGAGTCGCAAGGCTAGGTCTCTAAAATGACACTCCAAAAAACTGACAAGGCCATTTTATACTCTAGCCCTCCCCCCACCCCCTCCTAGTAGTATGCCTAGTCAGTAAGCCTTAGAATAGGGCCATGCCTGAGTGGGATATAGGCCTATAGACTATCTACAGATAGGCTACTAGCAATGTAATAATTAATACTATTAAAATGTAGTTGCCAAATCGCAAGGGCAAGTAACTAATACTAGGCCTAGGGCCTAGCCTAGGCTAGGCCTATAAAATTTACCCGTTACACTCAGGGACACACACATGATATCTCTTTAATAAATTAATAACACCTTTGTTTAATGTTAATGTTATTGGCCAGGCCCTACCTATATATAGAATTAATCATTTTCCTGGTTCCTTTCGGTTTTCACGAAACAATTGGGATCAATCAGATCGGATTCGACGTTGCGGAAGTGTGCAAGCTGGTTGTGGTAGGCCTAGGTCTATCGATGCACATCTTTAGTTAGAAACCAAACTTTTGTAAGGCCTAAGCCTAGCCA